ATGTATGCATGCTCACCCATCAAATCTTGTAACTCATATGTATGCATGCTCACCCATCAAATCTTGTAACTCATATGTATGCAAGCTCACTCATCAAATCTTGTAACTCATATGTATGCATGCTCACCCATCAAATCTTGTAACTCGTATGTATGCATGCTCACCCATCAAATCTTGTAACTCGTATGTATGCATGCTCACCCATCAAATCTTGTAACTCATATGTATGCATGCTCACCCATCAAATCTTATAACTCATATGTATGCAAGCTCACCCATCAAATCTTGTAACTCATATGTATGCATGCTCACCCATCAAATCTTGTGATATTACGCCAATGTATGACAGCATTGAAATGCTCATTAATATTAATATTAATAGCAAGGGAACTCTTACAAGAGACAGTTGTAACGCTATAGATGAAAATGAATGGACAGAAACCATACTTCTCTATTGACTATGAAAATCAGGTGTATACACAAATGTTGCCACAAATATATTTCATATACTTAGCCAACAATATCATCTGGTAATTGGATTTCAGGAAACCAATTGATATTTATCAGATTTTGATGCAACATTGTTTGCAATACAGCTGACCATCTAAATGTACAAACAGTCACAGTAATTAGATAAAGACTTTATATAAATATAAGTCCAATACAAACACTGTCTGAGTTAAGGTATGATAACTCCCACATTTGGTTTTTGGTGATGTGAAATGAAAGTGAAACAACTATTGAGTGCCTCTGTAGAGATAATATGGCATAGTTATACGTTTGGCAGTACAGTGATATAATAATATGCTACCTTTTTCACCCATTTTTTTACAGAGTCATAACCATGCTTTTTGAGTTTGGTGTAGAAGTAGGTTGGGAAGATAAATACATCACGCTGTCTAGACATTAATAATTGATTGTAAGCATTAATCACCTAGAAAACAATAAAAAAATACATTGGTTACTTGACTTATCTTAAACAAGCCATGCATGGCACAGTCCCCATTAGTTATCAAATATAAGATATATGGTTTTGTTTATAGTAATATAGTTGGAACATAAACTCGTCAGAAGTATGGATCCAGAAGATGATTATCAGTAATATGATTTTTTTAACATTAAAATGTTGTATCTTGTATCTGATTTTCAAACAAGTACTTGTCCATATTGAGAGATATTGCTCTGGAAAAGCAAAAATAAACACAAAATAGCCACTGGTTGGCCATTTTAAATACATCTGTATATCTATGACATGATATATAATGAATACATAAAATTTGAGACATGGCCCTAGAACCGCATTTGTTAAAACAAATTCACCATGTTCAATTACCCACCATAGACTCCAGTCAGTCAAAATTTTGAAGTGTAGGCAGAATCAGACGCCATTAGGGTTTCCAAGCGAACCAAAAAAGATAAAAAGGGTGTCCCAGATCAGGGTTGAGACCAGTGAAGAAACTGTGTTCTACCTTGCCAGTGCTATCCTCGGAATAAAGTCAAGTGCTACACGGTGACAGGGTTTGGTATGCCCAAAGACGCTAGACCCAAACTCTGGGTAAGTAACTTTCAAAAGAAGAGACCGAAACAGTTCTGCATTAGCTAGGGCATAGGTTCAAAAGCGAGACCTGGGAGGTTCCAAGGAGCGCTTGGGAAAGGAGTGTGCAGCTAGCTCCACATGTATTCCAGGTACCAGAGGAGAATTTGCTTCGCTAGGACTGACAACGATGGGGATCTAGTCACCCCCACCTTGTCGCTATAGGAGACCATCGCTGTGTTGTCCATGCAAAGCAAGACTATGTGGCCTTGACTATGGGTAGAAAGGTGAATCCGTGCTAAGCGCACTTCTTTCAGTTCGAGCCAGTTGATATGGCAGCCCTGAATCTAACACAGGGGCCATATTTTCCATTGGGTTTGTTCGTCCAAAAGGTGAGCTCCCTAACATGTGAGGGAGGCATCTGTTTCCAGAGTCATAGTCGTGGTGAGTGGGTCTAAAGGGACCCCCTGCCTGAGGTTGGCAATTGGTCAGAGAGTGTTACTCGCCTCTCCAGTTCCCCATATGAAAATATCTGCTTACAACTGGTTTTTAATCCATGTCGAAAACGTGCACAAAATGGTCATTCTGTGCATGTTTTCGACATGGCTTATCAGCCACCTCAAGTGCCAAATCCATGAAATAAACAACCAATGTCAATAGAGTAGATTAGGTGTTAAAAATGGATTGTATTGGCAAACTAACTTCTGCATGGGTTTGTCTCTAAACGCGTGCTTTTTGGTTCATTTAATCATCATTTTTTAACCCTCAAAACCTAATATTACATGTAAGAACGAAAAATTTCTGTTGAGATTTCATGTTTTCCTTGTAAAACGGATGCTGGCTGTTCCCTCTCTGGACTTCCTCCCCGCGTATACTAGAACTACCAACTCCTACCATGTCCTCACTTGGTGATGCATCAAACAAAAGAGTCACATACGTTACATCATTTTCCTATTTTTAAAAATAGAGTCTGGCACACAAATACACATCGTTCATTGGTAATACACTGGGCCAATGTAAAATTTATCATCAGGTTTTACGACAAGTTGGGCATTTAATGGTGGAGTTTTAATGGAAACATCGATAACATATCAAAAGCTTGGAATGTCACCTGTCTATTACGGAGCACACAAAAGTGAAAAAATTAAAAATCTAAACTCAAAATTAAATTAGGTTTTAATTTATGTTTATGCAATGCATTCTCAATGGAACATCCTGTGATGTTTATTTGACAGGGGAGCACTGGCCACAGGCGGAAGTCGGCCCTGTTGTTCACCCATTTCCAGCGATCGTCAAGCTATAAAACGGGCAACAGTACTCATTTCACCCATTCTCCCACTTTTATCGCTTTTCAATCAACCGCACTCACTTATTAAAAACAGTGATCGCTTGACTAAACACTGATCACTGGCACGTGAATTCAATGTGTATTAACCATTAACCAATGTGTATTAACGCGCAATTGAAAAATTAAGCAGAAATTATTCAACAAGCGGTTGCAAAAGTCAGTGAGAAAAAGAAATGATCAAAAAGCAGAAGTGAGCAGGAGGTTGGGTGAAATTAGTGCTGTACATTCTAGTCCTTGGTAATAAATATGATCGACCAAGATCTATCATTCTGAAGCACGCCAATGACAGAAAAAATGCAGTTATGAATATTGATCCTATTCTTATTTTTTAAACGAGCCAAAAAAAATGTATGCTGCTCAAGCATGGGTCAGAGAACTAGTATACCCCAGATCACTCATTTTGATGAATGGTCTGGGTGTGGGGCTTGTGGGTAAGACTAGAAAATGGATTACGATGAGGTTGTGATTATTACGAATTTTTACTATTGAAATGAAATTATCACATCTAGGGGTGAATTGTAAATAGGTGAAGTGATGTTAAAAAACATAAGTTGTTCATCATCTTGCATACACCGTAACAACAAATAATTACTTTTCAACACAGATCTCCAGTCAAGAGAGTGGCGTCTGGATGTAACCCCTGGAGTAAAACGCATAATTAGAAATCTCCACTGCTCATCGCCGCGATACACAAGGCACCGGTAGACAAGCAGGAGGACTTTTCGCCCATGCTACACACCACTCATTCACGCTCACATTACTGTACGCGTGACTACTACAAACTAGAGCGACGCAATCAGTCTCGGTAATTTACACGCGGCCTTGGAAAGCAACATAGGCCTCGGAACCCCAGTTGATACAAAACAAAAAACACTAGGCAAAACCCCAAGCCCCGCACACAGTCGAAATACAAATAGCATTGCTGTGTTGGTTGCAAGCTGGTAATTCCCTGTGGCAACTACTGTATGATTGCCTTGATCTTTGCTATCCATTTCTAACAACACATTGGTAACAAGCCATGCATGACACAGTCCCCGTTATCGAATTTAAGATATATAGTTTTGTTTATAGGAATATAGCTGGAATATGCGTCAACCCAGTTTTTTTTCTTTCTTGTAAGCATAGCACACAAATGGACGACTAGGGGGTAAAAAAATAAGAAAGACTTATCCTACCAGCCACAGCGTCAGCTGCCACGTAGGTGACAGCTTGTCAGATCAAAAACTCGGACAGGAAAAAATCTGTGACTGATTGCAACGTTTTTATCGGACACCACACTCGGATGCGTAGAAAAACAAGACTGGCTTGGTAGCTAATATTAACTCAGTCACGAGGTTCGTGACGTAAGGGAAAATCTTGAGGTCATGGGGCTTCCCCTGACCTAGATTTCTCTCTCCGTCATTGGCTGAATCACAGATTAATGCCTACAGTTCAAAATAATTGAATGTAGTGAATTTACAGCTACTACAGAGTAGAGTTACAGCAACTATAGAATAGTTACAGCTACTAAAAACTTCAGTTTACAGCTACTACAGAGTAGAGTTCCAGCTACTACAGAGTAGAGTTACAGCTACTACAGAGTAGAGTTACAGCTACTACAGAGTAGAGTTACAGCTACTACAGAGCAGAATTACAGCTACTACAGAGTAGTACAGCTACTACAGAGTAGTTACAGCTACTACAGAGTAGTACAGCTACTACAGAGTAGAGTTACAGCTACTACAAAGTAGAGTTACAGCTACTACAGAGTAGAGTTACAGCTACTACAGAGTAGAGTTACAGCTACTACAGAGTAGAGTTACAGCTACTACAGAGCAGAATTACAGCTACTACAGAGTAGTACAGCTACTACAGAGCAGAATTACAGCTACTACAGAGTAGAGTTACAGC